CCATCTCTTTCTCCCTTTTCCCTCCTTTCCCTCTCTTCCTCGCCCTCCCCCTTCTTTTCTCCCATCCTTTCTCCCCTCTCTTCCTCGCTCTCCTCTCCTCTCCTTCCCCCTCCTCCTTCCTTTCTCCCATTCTCTCCTCCCTCTCTTCCTCGCCCTCCTCCTTCCTTTCTCCCATTCTCTCCTCCCTCTCTTCCTCGCCCTCCTCCTTCCTTTCTCCCATTCTCGCACCCCTCTCTTCCTCACCCTCCTGTCCTTCCCCCCCCCCCTTCTTTCTCCCATCCTCTCCCCACTCTCTTCCTCGCCCTCCTCTTCCCCTCTCTTCCTCGACCTTCTCTCCCCCTTCCTTTCTCCGTAAGTGGCACATCTCATTACGTTGTCAAGCCTGTTTAATTGTCATAAAAGCCGCCTCAAAATATAGATGCAGTTAGATGTATTGGTTTGGCTTCGAATAGATTCATATATTAGTTTGGCTTAAGAGAGATAGATGTATTGGTTTGATAGATGCATATGCTATTTTGGCTTTGATAGATAGATATAGGTAGTTTGGCTTTCTAGATGCTCTTATTTTGGCTTCGGATAGATACATATATTCGTTTGGCTTAGGAGAGATAGATGTATTAGTTTGGCTTCGGGTAGATACATATGCTATTTTGGCTCTGATAGATAGATATAGGTAGTTTGGCTTTCTAGATGCTCTTAGTTTGGCTTCGGATAGATACATGTAGTTTGTTTGGCTCCGGATAGATAGATATATCAGTTAGGCTTCGGATAGACATATCAATTAGTTTGGCTTCGAATTACACGCATGGTCAAGGGAAATGAGCTCGAGCGCGTGTTTCGGTAGCGGCGCCGGTGCATGGGTTCAGTGGCGGCGGGGGGAAGAACAGGGGACGTCGGGTGGGGGCGGTTTTAGGGTGTCCAGTTTCGGTGGGGGGGTCCGTTGTAATTAGCTTGGGTTTTCACTCCTCTTGTCTTTTTCCTCTTTATCTCGTCTTTTTCTTTTCGTTATGTTTGTCTGTCTATCGGTTTCTTGCTCTTATTCGCTCTCTATGTTTTTTTCTCTCTCTCTTTCTCCTTCCTTCCTTTCCTTCCTTCCTTCCTTCCTTCCTTCCTTCCTTCCTTGAGAAGAGAGAGAGAGAGAGAGAGAGAGAGAGAGGAGAGAGAGAGAGAGAGAGAGAGAGAGAGAGAGAGAGAGAGAGAGAGAGAAGAGAGAGAGGAGAGAGAGAGAGAGAGAGGAGAGAGAGAGAGAGAGAGAGAGAGAGAGAGGAGAAGGAGAGAGAGAGAGAGAGAGAGAGAGAGAGAGAGAGAGAGAGAGAGAGAGAGAGAGAGAGAGAGGAGAGGGAGAGAGAGAGAGAGAGAGAGAGAGACAGAGAGCCGAGAGAGAGAGAGAGAGAGAGAGAGAGAGAGAGAGAGAGGGAGAGAGAGAGAGAGAGAGAGAGAGAGAGAGAGAGAGAGAGAGAGAGAGAGAGAGAGAGAAGAGAGAGGAGAGAGGAGAGAGAGAGAGAGAGGAGAGAGAGGAGAGAGAGAGAGAGAGAGAGAGAGAGAGAGAGAGAGAGAGAGAGAGAGAGAGGAGGAGAGAGAGAGAGAGAGAGAGAGAGGAGAGAGAGAGAGAGAGAGAGAGAGGAGAGAGAAGAGAGAGAGAGAGAGGGAGAGAGAGAGAGAGAGAGAGGAGAAGAGAAGAGAGAGAGAGGAGAGAGAGAGAGAGAGAGAGAGAGAGAGAGGAGAGAGAGAGAGAGAGAGAAGAAGAGAGAGAGAAGAGAGAGAGGAGAGAGGAGAGAGAGGAGAGAGAGAGAGAGGAGAAGAGGAGAGAAGAGAGAGAGAGAGAGAGAGAGAGAGAGAGAGAGAGAGAGAGAGAGAGAGAGAGAACGTAAGTAATATAACACTTAGTCTGAATGCCATTGCAGGAGCAAAGGAATCCCATTAGATGTTTGCATCAAGTTCTTCATTAAAAAATGGCTGTTTGGCCAACACGGGCTTTGCGCCGGAATAAACATCTAGTCTTTGAAACGCTTCCGAACGAGTCACTTAATTTGTGCCTTTAGCGGTGGTGTTTAAAAGGTTTTTAATTGTTTATTTGATTTTCTCCCAATGAAAAAACGTTCTTTTATTTGTGCTCAAGTGTTGGCTTGCGAGTCAAGTGATATTCGTTAGCTCTATTTGTTCGAGCAGAGATCAAATTCCTTTCCCCCCTTCCCCCCCCCTTCCTCCCCCCCCCTTCCTTTGTTGTTACGAGAAGTTCGTTTCCGTTGCGAATCGCGTCCTTCGGTCTTTGATGAGGAAGAGTTCCGGATACAGATAAGAGGTCCGGGGAAGTTCGTCTCATCAGCGGGGCTCCGGAGTGCAAGTTATTATTGCTTTCGGAAAGGTTGCTGCGACCTAGCGTGGATGAGAGGGGGTGGGGGGGTAGGAGGTTGTTCGCTCTTATGGGATTTTGTCCCAGTGTCTCTTCGTCTTTATTTCCCATTCTGTATTTCGGTCTCTCTTTTTCTCTCTCTATCCATCTTTTTCGATGTCCCTATATCTGTCTTTATTCTTCTTTCTCCTCTTCTTTGTCTGCTCCTTCTCTTCTTTCGTCACCCCTGGTCCTTCTTTTCCATTTCTCCGCCTCGTCCTTTCTGACATTTCCTTTCTTCTGGGCGACAGGTGCCATTCGGCCGCGCGACAGATGTACTGGAGGCGCCAAGGAGCGCGGAGGGAGTGCGTCGCAAAAGTCCTTTCTTGTTTTGAGTCCGCGATCTCCAAGTCTCGGGAGGAGGAACGCTGGGGAAGTTGGGAATTGGGTTGGGGATCACGAGGGATTGGAGGCTGCCGTGGTAGGTGGCGGGCTGTGGGGGAACGGGAGGAAGGAGAAGAGGGGAAAAAAGAAGAAAGGAGGAGGAAATGGGGAATTGATGGTGTTGTGTATTTTGTAAGTATGTGCGCGCGCACACACACACACACACACACACACACACACACACACACACACACACACACACACACACACAACACACACACACACACACACACACACACACACACACACACACACACGCACACACACAGATTATTATGCGCACACAGAGCGTTGTATATTAATTTAATTATCTGCCACAAGGCTTCGCTTTTACCTCGCTCAGGTCTTCCCTATGTGCATATTAACCCAATCGGGGATTCAACGCAACGCCAGCGCGATGGCGGTCCTCGGAGGGTCCTCTCGCCCTTCCATTGCCCTCTCTCTCTTGCTCTCTCAATCACGCCCTTGCTCACGCTCCTTTTGATCTCGCCTTTCCACGCCCTCTATTTCTCATGCCCTTTCATTCACGCCTCTCTCTCATGCCCTTTCATTCACGTGCTCACCTTTCATTCACGCCCTTATGCACGCTCCTTTCGATCTCGCCTTTCCCTCGCCCTCTCATTCACGTCTATGTCCATGTGGCAGCTGGTGCATTATGGAACGTCGCGACGTGGCGATTGGCGAATCCCCTTCTCTCTCTCTCTCTTCTCTCTCTGTCTCTCTCTCTCTCTCTCTCTCTCTCTCTCCTCTCTCTCTCTCTCTCTCTCTCTCTCTCTCTCTCCTCTCTCTCTCTCTCTCTCTCTCTCTCTCTCTCTCTTCCTTTCTCTTCCTCTCTCTTTCTCTTCCTCTCCCTTTCTCCCTTCTTCCATCCCATCCCCCAGCCGAGATCCTCCATCCTTCTTCGCCCTCCCTCCCCTCCCCTTTAGTCATCCCCCCTCCCTCCCATGGGTGCTGTGACGCCGTGACAGCGGATTAGACAGCAGGTTAATCGGGCCGGGGGCGCGGCGCCGCTGGTTTGTGCATTTGCATAAGTGATGACGGCCGTGGTTGCTCCCCGTCACGCGGCGATTATCGATTTATTTGCCTTGTGGCGGAAGCTCGTTTGTTTGTTTACCTCTTTCTTGTTCTTGCTGGTTATTGTGCCGTGAAATTTGATGTTCTCTTTGGCGTTTTATTTCCTTGAAATGTATATATATTTTTTCCCGGGAGGCTTTTGTGTATTTTAGAATAAAGAAACGATATTTTCTCTCTCTTGCGGTGTTTTTGGGTTAATGTGTATATTGATTTTTTTGTGT